ATCTGAGGGAGTACCTCGTCTTGATGTGAATCTTCTTAATGCTGCGATAAATGAACTGGTTGAAAGATCTGACACTAATTCAAGATGAATCGCTTTTGTTGCAAAGCTTACGAAAAGGGCAATATAAGATTTTAGTTTAACTCGGGATCTTGGTAATCTGGGTTTTGTCAGTATTGGACCTGCTAGGTCAACACCTGTTCTTGCAAAGGACCTAATATAGGTTGTTCTTGAATATGGCAATTCACCCATTAGTTGTGTATTAGGCCGGGCATTGACTTTGAAACACTGAACACAATTTTTCAAAATTTGTTTAACAAAAGATATTCCATTAATTATCCAATATGTTCTCCTTAAAATTGAGCAGGTTAAGTTGAAACTTGAATGAAAATGCTCCTGGTGACATTGTCTTATGATGAGTTCAGTTACATGTGACTTGGACGGAAGAATTATCGGATGCTTTTGGAATTCAGACAGAGAAGGCAGTTTAAGCCTTCCTCCAACTCTTAGAATGCCATTTTGATCAATAAATGGATTTAAACATAAAAGTTTGTTGGTCTTTGGTAATGCTTTAGAACTTAAAAGGGCATTAATTTCAACTGGGAAATAACATTCTTGGACAACTTTGATTATTTTTAACTCTGATGATCTAATTTCTTTGGTTGTCAAAGTTCCACTAAATTTATTGGATGGATACCTAGAATTATTAATAAATCTTAAGAACCATGCAAGAGTTCTTTTCATTCTGCTATAAGAAGAAAATATTGTAATAGAATCGGGTAAACTATGTGATTTGACATCTTCCGCACTTGAATAGTGTATTTGAATTAGTTCTCTGTATGATTGCACAATTTCACTTTCTTCAACCACTGATGCCTTATTGCTTAATATTTTTGAATCAAATGTAGTCAACCAGGAAGGTCCACACATTCCACCATAAATAGTGATCAACAAGATTACTTGGCATTATTCCCCTGCTTGCACAATCTGCTGGATTTACAACTCCTGGAACATGATGCCATTGATCAACTCTTGAAGTTTTTTTAATTTTCTCAACTCTGTTCGATATGTAAACCTTCCATTTTGAAGGATTGGATTGTATCCAACACAAAGTGATTTTAGAATCTGTCCAAAGAAAAGTCTCTTTTATCTGGAATGGAAGTGTTAACTTAATTGAATCAACTAGTTGACTCAACAGATGAGCTGCACAGAGTTCTAAGCATGGGGGAGTAGGGGCCTTGAGTGATGCAACTCTTGTTTTGGCTGCTAGAAGTTGGATCTTCACATCATTCTGTGTTTCACATCTCAGATAGCATACTGCATCATAAGCCTTAGCTGAAGCATCAGCGAACCCATGAAGTTGCATCCGGACTTCATCCTCTTTAGGAATAATAGCTAAATATCTGGGGATCATAACTTGAGATAAATATCTAATTTCTTTTTTAAACTGAGCCCATAGGTTTACTATTTCATCAGGTAGATAATCATCCCAATCCAGTTGGAGCTTCCAAGCATCTTGCATTAATATTTTGAGTAAAATTATGGAAGGAGATATAATTCCTAAGTGATCAAAAATTGA